CCGTTGAGGTCCATTGTGGTGGTGAGACCCTTCTGTCACGGTACCAGTAGGTTTTGTCAAGAAAAAAACTACTTCAAAGAGCGAGAGCAGCAGTCCACCGTGAGGAGAAGAAACTCGCTCCGATTTTTTGCATAGCTCCAATAATTTCGGGCTTACGCTTGCTGTAGGAGCCAAAGCCATCGAAGGGCTGTGTCGCTCTTTGGCTCGATTTCTGATCGGTGATCAGTGATCACACTGCCACCATAAAACTAAATCGCTCATCCTTCCGGATTCTCCCGCGTCTTGAACTGTCTCATAACTCCAACAGCTCTCTCTGTTCTGGAACCTCCCACCACCGCTGGTTTGAATGGCCAGAATTTTCATAAAGGAACAGTTGGGGACATTGATCGCTTAAGCAACTCTAAGGCTGAAATCCCGGTGTCGGATCTGGAGTCCCTGCGAGAGAGAAGAAGCTCCAGGAGATACTCAAGGGACCTCGAGCGATGCGGATTCCTCATGGGAAGGAGAAATTATTGGAAACCCCGAGGGTGGGAGAGAGTGATCGGCGTCCTCGAGAGCTCGAGGAGAGATTCTGGATTGTGAAATTATTGCTTTGCATAAGGATTTGCGGACCGGATTTTACTGAACTACATGAATGTCGCGAAGATACCGTCGAATTCGATCGTCTGCGGCATTTCGCATGTAGAATAGAACGAGGCCTTCGTTCGGGGCAGGAAGAACGCTTTGCGGTGATCCGAGTCTCTGCACTCTTCTCCCTGAGAATCGGAATTCCAGGGTGGAGCTCCGGAACCCGTTGCAGGCTTATTTCTGGCATGGAAATCAGGGCTCTCACGGTCATTATGGTTATTCAAACATTATCAGAAAATCATCTCTCGATCATCGACCGGGCTCCTTCCGACAAGGTGAACTCGCTTCACGGAGCCCAATCTACGAGAGGGCATTTCGCGTTGTGAAGGCTCCATGACGAGATTGAGCTCTGGTTGAACAGAGCAGGTCCCATCGTCAGAACCGTGGTACACGGAGCCTGGGACATTCCCTGACTGAGAACGTTCTTTGCTTTCGGTTCAGCAGCAGACGCGGCGAGTGCATTAGCAGTGGTCAAGAATGCACCTTGCCGATCCGCTGCTCGAATGAGTCTGTCATTCTCTCGATCTCGGATAGGAGCCGGGTGGCAAACGTAGAATTTGTCGACCCAGCCAGCAAGAAAGCCACCGACGACGAGGCAGAGGGAGGGAGCTCGCTCACTGTACCTTCATGCATGGTATAGCGGTCTCACGAGGGTTTGAGAGGAAACAGGGGACCTCGGCAGCGTGAATACGCGGCGGAAGTAAACTTTTTTGACGGCAGCTCTCCTGGTAGTTGATCTACTTTTTCATGATGCATAACTGGTCTCCAGCCGGAGACGACCTCTGGGACTCGCAATTTGCGATAGCCCTGTCCCAAGCGACGGCTACGACGACGGCGACGATAGCAATAACAACAACAACAACTACAACACGAGCCACACGAACAAAAACTCGACTTCTGACTACCGTATCCATAAACGTGGCTGCCACTCTCATTGTTGTTGCTGAGGTAGGAGTGATTCTGCTCCACACACCGCTTCTGGTTGCCGAGGATGACATCGTTGGTTCAGGTGGGAGGGGGTGTCACGGATGGGCCCGGTCGAGGACTCACGCCACGGGTCTTCGACACGAGAACTCAGAGCGTGCAAACTGTGCCGGTTCCCTTGAAGTCAAGGAGCTCCTCCTCCTTTTTCCCCGTCTAGCTGTCGTTGCCCCTGCTGCTGGAGAACTCTGTCGATCTCTCGATTCTGCTCTACCGCTCCCACCATTACTCTGGCGCAGCCAACTTCTATCCGACGAGCAGGCTGGTCTATCTGCTTGCATCTCTAGCCGCACCGTATTCTGTGACTGATGGTGATGATCGCTACTCGATGCATCTTTTCCTCCTGAGATGCTGCCGCTGCTACCGCCGCCACCGCTGCTCCGTCCCAAACGTCCCAGCTGATTCTCAGCGTCTGCGTCTTCCTCCCGATGCTGCTAGACTTTTTGCGAGATCGGCAACACGTGGGATTCGAGCTTAACCGTTCCCTGAGGTGTGCTGACGGAGAGGCTCCGGCAAAAGCATGCATGCGGCAGACTCCGGCTCCCCGTAGGAAGAGAGCTGGATATTCCTGGAAGGGGTCTCGGGACCGCAGTGAATTTCCCGAGCATGATCTTCGCTCTTCCATTGACGCTCTCTGTCCCACAGAGCACTGAAATGCCTGGATGCACGTACGGTATCGACGGCGAAACTAGGATTTCGACTCCGAACTCGAAATCCGGCGGTTCGGACTGCTGAGCTTCCCTTCGAAGCTCGAGCCGGAGGATTTTGAAAGCCTCGGTATTTGCTTTCCGTGGATAAGCATCTCCGCGATGGACCATCTGTGGGAAAGTTTCCCCTGATTCCCCTTCACACATCTCCCGTATTTCTCCTCCCGACAGGGTGGGAGATATCGGCGTCGTATTTATCGGACGTAGTCCGTATTTCCGTTCGCGAGTCGCCAGAGGAAGTCGTAGACAGGAGGGAGGCGCGGGAACGGGAAAGATTGATCAAGCGATGAAAGCTCAGAAACGTAAAGTTATTCTCAGAGAATCGCCCATTGATTGGGCAAAACCGTCCCGGCGATGATGAATGACCGCGCGGCCATGCGCTAAACAAGTTACCAAACAGAACAGATACATGTACGAAGGTGCTCGATCAATCTCGCTTCTTTCTGATGCTCGAAGCTTTAATTGATTTCGTGATTTCGCCTTCACTGAGGGTTGGCATTCAGCATTCACAGCCTTCCTTGCCGCTGTCGCTTCTCTTGTCGTTGTTTCTCTGGAGTTGGGACTTTGAGGAGGCTCTGCACGGAACATTGCCAGATTTTTCCTCGAGACCGGAATTGCGTCTCTTTCCATCAAATCTCATCAATCGATGAAAATCGATCGCACTCGAGGCCTGTCCACTCAAATGATTTGCTCGACTAGAGCTAGGACTTCTGAGTCCGGACGTGCGACTATTCGGCGATCACGCCATGGACGTGCACATCGCTCGTCAATTGTGCGCTCTTTTCCCAATTGCACGAGAGGAAAGAGGATTGGACAAAGATAACAAGGATCACCTTTCCCGGGAAGCGCGTAGATTTTCCGGTGAACTCCGGCGTTTGGGTACCGCGGGGTCGCCATTGGTCATTCGAACGCGGCTTAAAGCAGTCGGTAAACACATAAGACGGAATGTTTGTCGTCAGTAAAATAAACAGCCATCGCTTCCAGTGTGTTTCTGACTATGACCGCGAGTGAGATAATTGGCGATTGGCGAGATCGACCGACGGACCGGAGCACGCTCCATAGAGTGCCGCGTCGCTGGCCGGCGTTCCCGACGACAACGAGAAGTCAAACTTGTCGAGCCGACGTTTCCCGAAGGGTGTCGTGTTCAAGTCAGCCGGCTCTTGAGTTTTTGAAGGATGAGCGTGGAACATCAACATAACGGATTCTCCGCATTCCCCGAATGCGCATTTCTGTCGCCACCGGCACGACCGGAAGAGCACTTGTGCCTCAACGTCGCTCCTTCGGCGCTCCCTGCGACCGAGTCCTCCGGAGCTGCTCGCCACGGCCCAGAGGATGGTTGACGAAGACTTGTTGCTAGGAGGCAGCTCCGTTATCCCATTCCTGTCCCACGAGCGGTAGCGAGACATCAAGGTCGGGGATTCCCGCTCCGGGTAACCTCTCCCCAGTCTGCCGCACGTCTACTTTTGTTCACTCATGCCTCCTGCCGAGTGAGCGAAGAGTTATTCGGCACCCCTTCCGCGGGTTGCGAAATCGCAACAGGACAGACATCGATTCGAGAGGAGCGTGTTTATCGTCGCGAAAGAGAGAAACGAATGAAGTGTAGATAGAATTCGAAGGAAGACGCCGCTTGAAGTCGACTCTGACGGCGGTCGTGACTAACCGCGGAATCGTTGTCAAAATTTGGATTACATTGTTCTCGTACCTTCTAGCTGAACGCAAGCTGACAGACCGACCGAGTGGCAGGCCGGCCGGCCGGCCGGCCGGCTGACTGACTGTCTGACTGGCTAACTCCCTGACAGGAGGATGGATAGATGGATGAACGGACGGACGAGCGAAGGCACGGGCGAAAATCGAATATTTCTCGGTGGCTTGCGCTCATGGAAATTGAATATCATTTGTCAGAAACGTTCGAGTCAAAGCTCAGCTTCAACGAAAATTCCGCTCCAAGGCTTTTCAGCACTCTGTCAGATTCTTCTGCCGGTTCTTTCTCTTCCCATTGCGCTCCTCATCACAGTTCTGGTCTTTGGCGTCGAAGGGGGAAACTCGCTCGAAACCAGCGATCTATTTGTGATTCGCTATGTGAGACAGAGCGGTTAAATCTTCGGAGCGTTGACGGAAGCGTCTCTCTTCTGGGGAAAGGAAACGAATATTTCAGAAGCGTCGCGACCCATCAGTCTATTGTTGAAATTTTTCGAATTCTTCGAGCTTCTGCATCCTACCGCGGAGCTCACAGCGTTCACCCATATCTCTCAGAGAGTCTCCTCGCGGGGAACAAAAGTATAATACATGAGATCCCCCCGATTGAGGAGATTGATCCATTCTCCTTCAAATTCGGATTCACGCTCAATTATTATCGAAACCGTTCACCGGAATGATTTCAATCAATTCTCGTCGTCACGGCGCAGCGTCTTAAATTACTCCCCGTGGAACCGAACGTGGTAATGGGGAGAGAAGAGACCCTGTGTGTATCGAACGGAAAAATCGGGATATCGGCCGCTAAAGCATAAGGGAACAGACATGAAGGTAGCAATGAAGAAGATCTTCAATCTGGCCTAGCGGCGGAATAATACTGAAAACGAGTGCTCTCTTTCAGATTCAAATCTTTCTATGCGGGATCCTCAAGCTCGATTGCGTCCGCTGGACGTCGATCTAGGCGCGATGTCCGTATTGAAAGCGAATTCGGTTAAATGTGATTCGTGTGGACTCCTCTGCCACAACTTGGACGATTTCATCGAGCACCGGAACACGGAATGTCGTAATGGTAAGACACGACTTCTTTTTTAAGCTTCCTCAGGGTCTCCGAACATGCACAGCTGAAGTTCCTGCTCGACTCTCGAGCTCCAATCAGCGTGGAGCTCCGGCACCAGATTGAAGTTGACAGGGGGAAGGGCCTCCAGAGGGAGCTCCTCCGCGTCTTATTCGATGCGGCTGCGAGCCATTGGAGGGATCCAGACGTGATAGCTATCGTCGCTAATCATAAGAGATTATCCCATTTTGCTACATTGTACGCTACGTCTGAATGCCGAGTCATCATCATTTATCGCAATGTCATATATTTTTGATCTAGCCGCAAGGTGTGTTGAAACTTAAGGTCGAGCCCGGGTCAACCATCCTGGGTTAACTCAGAAACCGACATCGCAGAGTTGAGACCTCGAAAGATGATCCCAGGCGCGGTGTCTGATACACGCACGCCAGCAATCGGCATAGAACGACTTTTGTTCGTCGTCTTTCTGTTCTTCGGGGCCTTGTAGATTGAGCAAAGGATGCGAACTAGTGCATGGCAGGCTCGGTCGGTCGGACGCCCGCTCGCTCGGTCTGACGCCGAGGGACCAGAGCTAGGGACACGGGCCCTGGGGAGCTGTCCCCGAACGCGTGTGTTCGGCAGTCGCCCCTTCTTCCCTCCGGCATCTCCTCTGTACCGACCGACCTACTCATTCACTCACACACACACACAAACCAGCCGACCGACCAACCGACCATCCAACCAACCGCCAACCGACAGCAGCACCAACTCACATCGGAGCCGCCACCAGAGGGGCTGGCTAGCTATATAGGCTGCTAGCAGTCAGTCAGTCAGCCCGGCAGGCAGGCGGGCGGCCCACCCTTCAGGGACCTGAACAATTTACTCTCTTGGGAAATGATTTAATGAAACATTTTGCCACTAACTCTGGCTCCAAGCCTCGGGAGAACTCGCGAGGTCTTGGAAATTTGTTAACGTTCATTGGTTAAGCTAAAAATTGACGTGACCGATTGCTCCTTTTTTTCGAGCACCTGAGCGCCCCCGAGTCGCCCGCACTCCGAGATGTTCGACCAGTCCGCGAGCTGCGGGTGAGCCCGCCCGGCTCACAAGCCTCCGTCTCCCGGTCCCTACGGACCTTCTGACAGGTGGAAGGATGCGCTGAGACCTCGACCGAGGCCGTGTGTCCGTTCCGGCCGACGGAGGAACGTTTTTTCCGTTCGTTCACATATTCAGACGTAGACTTCGGGGAAATCACTCTGAACGGACAACCGCCATCCATCCAGCGAGAGGAAGCGGTCGATCTCCCGTGCGGGCCGGGAAAGTCCGACCATCAGCAACACTTTTGAGCATCGAGCTCTCATTTCAAAACGAGGCGATCTCGCCATTGTTGGAACTCGATGGTCCGGTGATGTTTCGACGGATGCCGTCTGCCTGCAGCCCACGTGAAATCCTACCGCATACGAACGTAAGAACACGGCGCGCCGGTGCATACAGCACACATATGCCCTCTAGCTGATACCGAAGCGGCGCGTACGAGTCCCCGGGGATATTCCAGCTTGGCGGGGGTCATGGCTCGGAGTGAGAGAGAGAGACAAGGGAGGGGGGTTACGACGAGAGCGACCGGGAGCGAGCACCACAAGGGATATTCAGCCGTATGATGCATCAAATATGTACGCGTCCCGATTCGAGTCCAAAGTTCTACTTCCGTGCACTGGGCCGCCCGGTTTCTGTCTCTGAAGTCGACTGATTTCGATCGAGGTTTCATCCCCATTTCCCCCCGCTCCCTAGGCCGCTCACTCCCCTCTAGAGCCCTCGATCTTCGTTCATTCCACGTCAGCTGTCCTCCGTGGCCATTAGCCGTTCCGCCATCTTGGACTGGAGCAAGTCGTGGAAAGCGAACTATAAAGGGAGGAACTCCGGAGCCGACCGACGCGCGACGAAGGATACGATGGGGGTTAGGGTGGCACATCGACAGAGGCTCAAAGGGGAGATGAAGGCGCACAAGGGCGGATGGGAGGGCGGACGACGTTCGGGTCCCTAGAGGCCTGTGCGACGTCGGTCTCTCAAGGAAACGACGTCACTCGGAGCGAGGGACTCGGCTTCCTGGCACGCAGGCAAGCAGACAGACAGGCAAAGCCTGCGGGGTTAGCGGAAGAGCAGCCCGGGCAACTCCCTTCCTTCTCCCCTGCTCCAGGGAGTCGGTAGTCCGGGAACGGGAATCTGTAGGAACTGAATAGCGAATCGGAGTTCGGATGAGTCGCATAAGTTCCGTCGCTCGACGTCGAGCTCGGGAACGCGGGCGGGATGTCCAGAGAGCCACGGTGAGGCTATCGTCGAGGTCGAAGCAACAATTCGTAGCAAATCGCATCGGGAACAAACATGGAGATTCGATGAGGGAGGTCCGGATCTCCTCGAGGGAAGCTCTAGGAAAAAGCATGCGCAAGGTCACGCGGGGAGCAGGAAAGAGGGCTCTATTCGTGGTTCACCTTGCGTGTACACCACGCGATCGGCACCGTCCGGATAGCGAGGAGGCAAGAAAGAGAAAAGAAGCGAGAGTGGGCCAGAGCCGGATAGATAGAGAGAGAACCAACCATCTAGAGATACTACTACTGCACTCGTGGGAGCCATTTTTCCAAAACTCTTTTCCCCGCTCGCTTCTTCAGAGCTCTCTTTTTTCGTTTTTTTTCTTTTTCTCTCGCCGCTCTCATCCCTTCTACACGAAGCAACCACGAACCAATAGATGGACATCACCACCATGGTTCATCGGAACATTTTTCGTCCCCTCTACGATCATCCGCCCCTTCGGTTTTCGCGGTTATGACGAACGTTCGACCTCCCCCGCCGCCCTCGTGACCCCTTCCCCCCTCGAGCTTTCTTACGCGCCCTGTTGCCGTACCCGTATTCCCCGACGCCTTCCATCGATTTCTCCGATGGTGAGCCCCAGCCTGAGGTCTCTCATCCATGGGAAGCTCCTTCGGTCAGGGCTTCGAACTTCCTGCTCGGAGAGTACGGTTCCGTTTGTTCCCCGAGGAGAGCTGCGGAGAGCGGAATGGGAATCGCTATCCTTCCAGACGAAGAGGTAGATATTGAGCGGAATTTTCGTCTGATGGGATCGTTCTCATCCCGGGAACTTTGTGCTCTGAAGGTCGATCGGAATAACGGCGAACTCTTTTCTGCAGCGGGCGTGCGGATCCGTTTATTTATCGCGTTGTTTCCTGTTTGTATATTGATCAGTCGGACGTCTATTCAGACTCGTCGGTCGGCAAATCTTTGATCACTTGCAGAGGGAGGATAGGCGACCGAAACAAATGAACGAGACCGATCGCTTCCGAGAGAGTTGAATCGGATCGCTAATCATCCTCCCAGGAAACAAGGCTTATATTTATCTAGCGGAGCCGAAGCAAGTAATCCGTACGAATAATGATTCTACAAAGAGCTTGAAACAATTCCGAAACTCCCCTCTCATCGCGAGCATGCGAACATGACACCCATAAATGGGACGCAGACAAAGCACGTCGGTAACGGATACCGAAGGATGTGGGGAACGGATCGAAGCGAGAAAAACTCCGGGGAATTTTCGGAGAAACCAAAGAAACTAACGGTGGTCGGAGCAACGGATGAAGGGACGAACGGAGGATATGTCGCACCTTTGTTCTTAAACAACATCGTCTCTCCTCTTCACTTTCATCCGATGGCCTCCCCTGATATATTTCGATCAATTCCCAAGAGTCGAGCACATTTGCAGTGAAAGAGTAGCTCGAACATAGAAGCTTCGAGGCTTACCCACTACGCCGCCCGCCGTCGGTCCCTCGAGAGGTCCCCAGGGTAGTGGTGACACCGGCTCGACCGAGTCTCAGTCAGCTTGACTCTCCCACCACCGCCGATGCCGCTGCTGCCATCGATGCCGTCGCACGACGTCCTGTGCGGAACTTGACCCTCGTCCTATAGACCTATCGTCGATATGGATCGGTGGGTGCCCCGTGACCGGCACGTTCGAACCTCCGAAAATTTCCATTGACCCGCAAACGATGTCCGGAAAACAACTCTGGTCTGATCCGCCGACCGTGGATATCGAAAACCAGAAAGAGCGAAGTTCGGCGGAACGACTCCGCTGAATTATAACGTGTCGAACCGTGAACGTCAGCCTTCTGGTGGGACGCCAAATGTCTGCCGGCGTGCCGGGTAAGGAGACGTTCCTCAGAGACCCGTCGAGGACTCGGAGCTCATTAGCGCGGTCTCCGGGAGGACTCCTGCGAGGACCTTCGTGCGTCTAGCGCTACTACTCTTACAGTGTACGGCCCTGAAGGGCCCTGGTATCAAAAGGGATACGACTAAGGCACAAGGCACACTCATAAGGCAGCTCCCAAGGGAGTCAGTCTGTCCGTCCGTCCGTCCATCCGTCCATCCGTCCGTCTGTCCCTCTGTCGGTCGGGCGTTCGTTCGTCCGCCCGCCAGCTCGCTCGACCGGCCCGTCGGTCTGTGCTTCTGTCCTTCTGTCGACTACGCTGGAGAAGGCCCCGGCCAGCCACCCGATCGACTGGCTAGTAGTATGTGAAGCAGGCACCAAACCTCTTCCCAATATAGCCATCCGTGTGCTGTTGGGAGGATTGGAAGACTCGGCGGTTGCAGCAGCAGCAGCAGCAAAAGAGGGGATGGGAACGGAAAAGGAGCGCTCAAGCCTTGCGCTCCTCCGGCCGGGTTTCTGGTCTCCAGAGGATTCTATCCGCTTTTCCGCCGTGGCTCTCGCTGCCGCTGTCGGAGACGACGACAACGATGGGGGCGTCGGCGTCGTCTTCTCTCGAAGACATGATGCCAAGCGCCAGCGACGGCGGCCCTGACTAATTGAGACAACTGGTGTCCCCGCACGGAACTCCTCCATGTTGGATGCGAATATTCATATTCCGAGAAGTGCTCTCAGTACAATTAAGGGATATTCTCTGAGTTCCGATCGATAATCATCCTGGATCATTGGCTGTGAGCACAGAGCTGCAAGCTCGATTTCTGCGTATTTTTTCGTGGTC